CTCGGAGTGTAAACTTCGAGGCAGGTTTCCATACTTTGCTTGGACCTTTTCCCCCTCTTGCATCAGTGGCCTTGGAAACCAGTGCAAGCATTAACGAATCCTTCAAGTGGATTGGTAATTGTTGGGACTTGTATTGTAATGAATTGTTAGAGATAGGGGATGATTGGTAAATATGGGACTTAAGTTGAAAATGTTTTGAGGAGCAAGGACCATATTTGGAGAATTTGCACAAAGTTTGAAATAAGATACAGGACTAACCCGTATCCCTTCCCCACATCATGTTCTATTGAAACAACCCTAAACCTGGAGCGATACACTACAACCGCCACCCCTCCTTCTTGTTCGTTTCCGATCGGATGAAGCTGCGATCAGCTACCTCGCTAAAGTAGCACCGCCACAACGACGCTACCGGCCGGAGATGTCATGGGCGACTGGAAGGACCACTATGATCAAAGCGAAGATGGCTCATCATTCGTGGATTGAGAGCGACTGGGGAGCCATCGGTAAGTCAGCGCAACCCACCTTCTTTTTTCTCCCTTGCTGTTTCTGTAGGTGCGACGCTGGAAGCGTCATGGCCGACGTCGGCGGCCTTTGGGCTGCTGTTGCACTTTTTCTGGCTACGTGTGTTGCCAATTGGTGGCTGATTGTGCTGATATTCGATTGTAATGGTTGTTTTCGGTAGTTGTGATGTGGATTGTGTGCATTTATACCACATGAGGTGGTGACTGCCACTCGTTGACATTTTTCTGCCACCCTTGGCCGCCACTAGCCTCTGCGGGAGGTGGCTGTGGGTGTGTGATTATTGTGTGTGAAGTAGTATGTGTGATTTTAGGTAGGAACCACCACCACCATTGGAAATGGTGGCTACCTCCGCCCGCCGCCATGAGCCACCGTCGATCACCACCGCCCGAGGTAGCGGTGGGTGGTACCCGACCTAGTGGAACCCTAATGGGCCTAAAAACTTAATCTTGGACTGGGCTACTTTGTGATTGGGCTAGAAACCCTAATTAGGGGTTAGAAAACCCTAATTTTTGGGTTTGTTAGTTTGGATTTTACCAGGACCCGCGGTTGGACTGTTAAATTGATATTGTGAATTATGTACGACTTTATTGTGTGAATGGCCTAGTGGAGTGATGGACTTAATGTGTTAAGTACTTAATGGGTTAAGCCCTAAATGGGTTAAGTGAGAAACGCTTAAACCTAATCATCATTTTATGTGAAAGCCCTAGTTATGCTTGGGCCTTGAGTTGGGCCTTTCTATTGGACTTCGGTGATTGGGCTATTGATGAGCCATCCAAGAACAACCATGTGGACTAGAATATTTAGATGGGCTTTGGGGTAATGCCTATATAAGGGTTTGGGCTCAATTTGGAAAATTAGGCCATTAGTAGGCTTTTGTGAACCCATTTGGTATTGGGCATTGGTGGGCCCATTGGGCTTGGGCTATTTATGGACCAGATTAGTGGACCATATTTAGATCTAATATGTGAAGGATGGTCTTAAATCCTAATGGGTTAATTGTGGGTTTGGCTCAATGTTAGAAGTTGGAGTACAACAACAACACTTATAGGATCTGTTCGCCATCCGAGGTGAGTCGTCTCACTATACTTACCCATGTGGTAATTTATATGTGACCGGAGGGTCTTATTCATGTTATTGACCGGAGGGTCTTATTCGTGTTATTGACCGGAGGGTCTTAGTACATTGTAGACCGGAGGGTCTTAGTACATTATCGATCGGAGGGTCTTATTTGTTTATAACGTGTTATGTGTTATCGTGCATACTGTCTTTGTGACTTATGTTGTTATAGTAATCTGTGTATATGTTGATGTTATGTGCTTACTTGAGTTGTGCATTTGTCTTTGTGATATATGTATGCTATATTATGTGATACTGATACCGGACCGGAGGGTCCAACGAACTGTAAGACTAGAGGGTCCTTACTGAGGCCGGACCGAAGGGTCCAACGAGCTGTGAGACCGAAGGGTCCTCACTAAGACCGGACCAGAGGGTCCAACGAGCCATGAGACTGGATGGTCCTACTGAGACACATAGACCGGAGGGTCGTACTAAGTTATAGCATCGAGTGGCTAATGTGTTGTATGTGGTATGCTGGGGAACTCACTAAGCTTCATGCTTACCGTGTTATGTGTTATGTATTATGTGTTTCAGGTACTTCTCAGGATCATGGGAAGGCGTCGACTTAATTGTACACACGAGATGGAGTTGTGTTTGAGGATCCTAGATTTTATTCAAATAAATATGAACACGTGTTTTTGATAATTGATATATTTAGATTTGTGATATGTGTTGATGATATTTATGTGATTTTAAAAATGAAAATTTTGTGTAAAAATTCACGGTGTTACAAGTTGGTATCAGAGCCTTGGTTTTAGGGATTCAGATGTGTGCTCTTAGGTGTGTCTGAACTTAAACTGAGGATTTGAGAAAAAATTTCTAAAAAAAATAGATTTGTTCTAAAATGAGTAAGAGTTTTAAAGAGAAAACGAGATGGAGCAGTGTGTACAATCAGCTAGTGCTCGAACAGTGATTTCCCAAAATATCATTATTTTTTGTATTATGTGTAATGCCCTGATTCTCAGGTATGGATGTAAATGAAATCATATTTGGTTGAAAGATCTACTCGACGAGTTGGTTGCCCTACTCATCGAGTAGCAGCAGGGTGCGATCGCACATTTAGTGGTCTACTCACCGAGTCCATAAAGGGACTCGACGAGTAGGAGCTGGCAGATGAAACCTTAAATTTCGGGGTATTTCACCCTATTTAAAGGATCACTGGCCTTTCCTAGCCTCCCCTTCATTGCTTCTTGTCCCTCTAAAGCCCTAATCGTGTGTGTGCTCATTTTGTGCATTCTTAAGCTTGGAGGAGCATTTTCTTGGAGAAAAGAGTTGGAGATCAAGCATTCAGAAGCAAGGAGCTTGAAGGACCTAAAATCTATTGTATTTAGCATCTTCTGGAAGGTATAAATCGTTACCTAACCTCATTCATTCTAGATCCCCTCTTTGGTCAAATTCTAGGGTTTTCATAGGATGATTGGAAGGATAGATTGGTCATTTAGGGCCTTTAGAACCTTGCATGTGCGTAAAGTTTGCAACTTTACATGATAAACATGCCTTAGAAGCTTGGATCTGTAATCTGGTGCCTTGCCATGGCTTAAAAAGCGTCTACATGGATGAAGGTTTGCGAGGACTCGATGAGTTGAATGAACAACTTGGCGAGCCCGATAAAGATGGCCATGAATTTAACGAGTTGGATGAACAACGCGGCGAGTCCGTTGAAGTTTTCGTTAAACTCGGAGAGTCGTTAGAAGACTCGGTGATTCGGTTGGGGTTTATATGAAATCGGCGAGTTAAAGGAGAACTCGAAGAGCCAATCAAGGATTTCACGACTTCTCGAGTTCAGTAAGGACTCGACGAGTAGGTGAATTGCACTCGATGTGTCGAGTCAACATGGACTGTTGACTTTGACTGTGGACTTTTATTTTGACCATGAGTTGACCAGTTGACTTCTTAGGGTATTATGGTAATTTGGAGATTATGAAAGAGGATTTTATGGTATCTACACTACAAGAAAACAACCCTTTAATGACGCATAACCAATGATACTCACTGATAGACGACGTGCATTTGTAAGTGCCCTAAAAGATAATGTCATTTTTGCAAAATTTGAAGGATAGAGGGCATGCATTTGTGCGCGCCCTAAAATTAGTGTTAGAAAAGAAAAAAAAAAAAGAAATGCGGAGGGCGCCTTTCATAAAATGTGCGTCATGTAAATGTGTCGCTTTATAATTTTTAAGTGAAACACGCGTTTTAGGCAGGAAATAAAATCGATGAAAATTACCCCCGCCTATTGAATCCCAAAAATTAATCCCCCGCCTCTTCTACTTAGCAAGAAAAAGCCCTCCTTCATCTTCATCTTCAGTATCATCAAACATCTACTCGATCTCCTTCTTATCAGTATCATCAAACATCTCGTTCACCGCCTTCGCCCTATCTATAACAAATCTCTCTCTCTCTCTCTCTCTATCTCTATCTCTCTCTTCCATTAACCACTACAAATGGTTTTTCGAACACAAGTCAGGGAAAACCTAGGTCGATTCAAAGTCATCTTATAAAATCAACATTCCCTTAATTTCAATTTGATGCAGGTAATACACGACCAAGTACAAGTCTCTCTCTTTCTCTCTCTCTCTCTCTACCCCCTATTGTTCGACAACAACCTAGGCACCCACCACCCCTCGTCTTCTCTCTGGTTCACCACCACCACCAATAAAGCCCCATTATACCACAAGATTAAAGAACGAAACATTGGGTTTGTATTTTTGAATCCCAGATCCACGAAACATAGTCCTACATGTTGCTCTGTTTTGCTGCATCTGGTGTAATCCGATAAACCGTGTAATCCGTTTTGCTGCATCAGGTCTTAAGCTAAAAACGTGTACTTGGAGTACTTGGAGTCCTGCTCAGTATGAAGATCTCCTTAAAGGAGGTGAAAAAGTTACATCTGTTCTTGAAGAGATGGCTAACCTTGTAAGACATGCTTTAACTCCAACTTCAAATTCCTTACTTTATTGAATTTCTCTCGTTGTGGCATTTCATTAGTCATTTGGTGGGCACATGAAAAAATGTACTTATACTTCGATTTTACACAAATCGTCAAGCATTTGACTTCGTAGAATTGATTTGGAGACCATTTCATTTCATAACCATCGCAATTGTAATTCAACCCAATGTTTATTTATACAACAGTTGGAAGATGACCAAATGGATGAAAAATCTGAGGAGTTAGGGTGCTGTTGGCTGCACAAGGCGTGATTGGAAAACGAGTTGATCAGATGGAATCAGGCTTCATGATGGCATTAGATTATATGATCAAGTTAGAGGTTGAAGATCAGAAATAGAACGTTGAAGGTTAGATTTGGGATTAGAAGTCAGAGGTTCATGGTCAGATTGGAAGCATCGGAAATTAGGAAGCGAAAATGGAAGAGGCCCCAGGTTTGAATATCATTCTCTTCTTCTCCATGTATGTACTCTAGGTTTCTTTCTCTTACTTTACCATTTTCTTATGTAATATCAGAACTATTGGTGATATATCACACATTTAATTTATGTACTCATGAAGCTGATTTGGAGGGTATCGCCATGAACATGAATCAGTCTCTGTTAGGTCAGTTACTGATGCACGCCCACAAGGTGTTTGACATAATGTCTATGTTAGCTTTTCACCCAGATGAGACTACTTTTGGCTACCTTTCCTGTCGATATGCACCAAAAGGACTCGAGAACAAGATAATTGAACTACAGGACTTGGAATTTAGGTTCAGTTTTACTACTAAATCAATGTTTATTTGTGATGGCTGGTTAGCAGCTATTCAACTTGTTAACAATCTCATCAAAGATGGTGAAATGTATTTTGTTTTAATTAAGGATACCCTTAGTTATTAAGTTTGACATCTTTCTTTATTGTTGCTGTAGGTTTGACAACCAAAGTAGAAACTCTATTTGGCATGTTATTGAAGCTGGGGTATGGTCACTCTAGGCATTGAAGGAGATGGACAAGGAAACGTCTCTAATTCCACCATGGAATCGATTTTCTAAAAAATCACTGGATTAACTAAAAAAACTATGATTATCAATATGAAGAATATTTAAGAGGACAGGTTTGCTAATGAGGTGGCCAATGCTAATGCTCGAGTCTCTAGTCCAAAGGCTAAATGAGAATCTAATCAGGTTATAAATTGTTGTGTGTATTATATTTCTATATTATATATTTAGAAATTCTGATTTTTTCTTAATATGTGTTATTTTAGAACACAAGTTCTTTTAGTATCACATCTGCAGCTTCAACTGAATCTTGAAAGTTCCATGGTCTGTAATCTAAGTGGTCTAGATACTGAAGAACCACTTCAAGTAGCAGTTTTCGACTTGACAACCTGTGAATTGGGTTCTCTTATAACCCACGTACTGAAGAACCACTCCCGATCAGCAGCCTCCCCACCTCCTGCTATTGGTTTACAAAATCTGTACAATCCACGTGCTTCTCGTTTGATTGGCATGATCACCAGAAAGGACTTGATATTTGAGGTATCTCAATCTAACTTTTGTATATGTAATATATTTATTATGCCATTGAGTTTTTTTTTATGAGAAATTACAACTTTTTATATGCAGCAAGCCAATAATGATTCAGGTTCTGTGGAGCTCCATTCAACTAGTGTAAGGTCCCTATGATGCCTGCCTGGACTGAATTTCATTGCCTTATTGAATATACAACTGCGAGATTCTGTTCTAACTAAAATCTCTATCACTTTGGTATGTGTGAAGACTGAAGACGCATCATGTATTAGGGAAAAAAATTGTAACTTTTTGTGTTACCCAAGAAGGCAAAATAAATGAAAGTCCCTGTGTATGGTTGAGGACTTCAATATATGATGCCCTAATAAAAAAAACAATGCTATGATTACATGTATTTCTCAATCACATTTCCTTGATAAGAAAATAATTGAAAGTATGATGTTTTGTTATAATACACAACTAAATGAATTAAAAATGCAGCGTTGCTGTTTCATGCATTTAACTTGTGGATAAGTTTTTGCATAAGATGCTATAGTTGATGATATCCATTACGACCAACTTTATCGAGGTGTTTCTCTATAAGTAAGAAAATAAAATATTTACTATTTATATATATATATATATATATATATATATATATATATATATTTTACAGATACATATTTAATTTTGTTCAAATTTTTGGTGAGATTAGGTTAGCAGAACCACTTGATATGTAACCACCTATGATGCCAGAGGATGGTCACACGAGGCTCACAACAGGTGATGATGTCTCATCTCCTTGTACTGGAAAAGAGGCTTCTGTTGCTCAAGCTTTGTGGGATGATGAAGATATAAAAAAGTTTTTATGAATGTTTACCTGATCTCAGGTATGCAAGTGTTTATTATAATACATTTCAAAACCACAAATTGTAATGAGAAAAAAACACATTTTTTTGTTTCTAGGGCATTTGTTTCTACTGTGTTATTGGGAGAAGCAGAGCAAAAAGAGAATGATCAGTCATCAAAAGCATCAGATCAACCAAGTGTAAGTTCTTTTAACAAAAAAATAGTAACAAAGTTTTTAATTGACATGAAATAAATATATTATGCAGGACTCAACAACACCTGAGTCTGATCAAGGTTAGATTGCTGCCCAAGACACTGCAGAGACATCTGTAAGTGAGAAAAAGAAAGATGATGAAGAAAAAGATAAAGAAAAAGAAAAAGAAAAAGAAAAAGATGGTGAAATAAAAGCTGAAATTGAAAAAGAGAAGCTTCGAGGTCCTGAAGGAACCAACTTAGACGGCTTAATACAGAGGCTTCCTGGCTGTGTGAGCCGTGACTTAATTGACCAATCGACTGCAAGTCCTCTTCCCTCCATAACATAAATTTTCCTTACAGACTCTCTCTACTTCCATTCTTTTAAATGTTTTTTAATTATAATTACTTTTTTTTAAAAAAAATCAAGTGGAATTTTGTTATTTAAACTCAAAAGCTTCCCGCAAATAACTCGTACGCATGTTGTTCAACGTGCCCAGAACATCTCTGGAACTGCTACCCTACTATTCGCGAATGGTTGCCACACTGTCAACTTGTATGAAGGATGTCCCTTCTATACTCTTGCTGTATTTGGTATTGTGAAAGACAGTTTCTATTTGTTTTGTAGTTTTAACATTTAAAAAAGAAGTTTGAATGAAAAGTATTGAATTTTAAGTAAAAGAGAAAAAGTAACCAAACAAACAAATTACAAATCTAAGATTGATGATATACAAATACAATGCTAACTAAATTAAAAGATGAGAGTGTTAAATCTGTTATTGTTTTGCATGTGTGTTACTCCTCCTCAGGTTATGTTCTATGGTTTAGCTGTGGTGACATTTGGTACCGCTGTTCCAGCTGGCCAATTTGTTCCAGGTATAATGATTGGATCTACATATGGACACCTTGTTGGCATGTTTGTTGTTAGACTCTATGAAAAGCTCAACATTGAAGAAGGAACGTGAGTTCACTTCACACTCATCTATTATCTTTTCTTTATAGTTATATATATATATATATATATATATATATATATATATATATATATATATATATATATATATATATATATATATACACATTTATTTCCAGTTGATAATTTATAATTGACACCTGACAGATATGCTTTGCTTGGAGCTGCCTCGTTTCTAGGAGGTTCAATGAGAATGGCAGTCTCACTTTGTGTTATTATGGTTGAAATTAGAAATAATTTAAAGCTGTTACCTCTTATCATTCTTGTTCTCCTCATATCAAAAGTAAGTTTTTTCTTTTATTCTGCTTACAAGTTACAATTAGAATTAAATTGATGAGTACAACACGTTTTAGTTTTGAGTTTTGAGTTTTGACCATTTACCTTCCTTAGGCTGTTGGTGAAAGTTGATAGGTTTGTAACTTTGTTACTTCACTCGTGTGGTGAAAGTTGCTGATGTAGCTGCTATTCTGAGGACTAACAGTCACAATGGCTTCCCTGTATGTCTGTCATTTTCCATTTCCTCTTCCCTTAAAGAAAAAAAGGTTAAAAGTTACATCTCTACAATAACAACACATGACATTTAGGTTGTAGATCAATCACGAAGTGGAGAAACAATGGTAATAGGTCTTATCTTGCGCATGTATAATTATAAACAATAAAATCTTAAACCCTAAACACTTATTTTGTTAGCACTAGCAGGCAGGCTTAAGAAGTTTATATGTTTGTGATACAATCACTTGTTGGTACTTCTGCAGTCGAAAGCAAATTTTCAGTATAGCCCATCAAGTAGGTAGATAATTACTTCATTGGACATTCTAATCTTTTAGGCTGAGAGGGCATTATTTCATTTATAAGACTTTTGCATAGATAGACAGTTAATACGAACCTGATGGATGTCTGATTAATTTGAAATTTGCAGGCACGGTCTTAGCGACTTTGTGAAGCCCGTTTCTAGTAAAGGACTATCAATATCTGATATCCATCTAACTCTAGATGATTTGGAAGCTTTGGAGGAAACGAGAGTGAAGCAAAAGTAAACACACAGAGACTTGTTGGCACATAGTAAGCTAGATGATGCAATTGTATATAAATGAGTTCATTTTTTTTTTATAACATTTACTCACTTTTGGAATAATTATTTGTATGACATATTAGTGAAATGAATTATCTTTGTTATTTATGGTATTTTATTTTGTATTGTGAGAATTTTAATGTATTATTTAATTTAAAAATTAGTAAATCTATAAATAATATTTTTTTTAAACATTTAAAATTATGATACGCAAAAATGTGTGTCATCTTCATTTATGACATGGCCTTTCTTGCCAGGGGCTTTCTTGATACGCATTGCGTGTCGTCTTCCTTTATGACAGGGCCTTCCTTGATATACATTGGGTGTCGTAAACGCGCGTCGTAAATGTGCGTCATCTCTCTTTATGATAGGGCCTTCCTTGACGCGCATTTGCGCGTCGTCTGAGCCTTTTACGACGCGCAATGAGCGTCGTAAAAGGCTGTTTTTCTAGTAGTGCTATAGGTAGTGAAGTTCGTGTTGGTAATCCAGGAGTTGAAGCTTTCTAGTTTCAGACGTCAGCTGTGAGGTGAGTTCTCCTCACTATATCAACAGTGTCTAAGGCACCAATGTCGACCCTTATTGGATTGGTATCCAGTTTTATTTCATGCTATGCTTATTGATTTACATCCTGGTTGTTAGGATGGTGATATGCTTAGTGACCTGGTTAGGTCGATATCCTGGAATATAGGATGATGCTATGTTAGTGACTGGTTAGGTCGGTATCTTGGTTATAGGATGTTGCTATACTATTTGATATGTTAGATCGATTGACTGTTATATATGCTAGCGTATGATATGTATGTGTACATGTTTGTTGATTGAGGGTTGGGTTGAGGCGACCCTGCTTTGTGCTGAAGGACAACATACCTAAGGCGGTGCGGATAAACTACAGACCCTGAAGGGGAGTCAGACCAAAGGCCCGGCGAGCAGTCCGGATAGGCTGAAGGCCTGACAAGGCGGTCCAGACGTGCCGAAGGCTCGGAGAGCGGTCCAGATAGACTGGAGGCCTGTGAGGCAGTCCATTCAGGCTGAAGGCTCATCATGCATGCTGTTTTGTATTTGCTGTTATGTTATGAGTATGGTTTTATGAGGTTGGTATTTTGGGGGAATTCACTAAGCTCTCGGGCTTACAGTTTCAGTTTATTGTTTCAGGTACATCATGTGATCGCGGCAAGGCGAAGGCGTGATCGTAAAGCTCCACATGTTTTATCTATGTCTTTGGGAAAAACTCTGATATTATACATTTGAAAACAAAGTTGTAATGGTTTTTAATGGTTTGAAATGTTTTAAAAATATTAAATTGGTTTGAAATTTTTGGGTGTCACAATTTGGTATCAGAGCCTTGGTTTGAGTGAATTGGAGGAACACTCGTGTGAATCCATTCTCAAATCAGGGAAAGATTTTAAAATGACTTCTAAAATGGTTTTCAAATAATAAAGGAGGATGCAGTGTACGATCAGCCAGAGCTCATGGATAGACCCCAAAATACCATCCATTATTTGATATTGTGATATGTTAGAACAACATGCTAGTACTAAGCTAGGAATCTTCAGGAATTGCATGATAGAATTCCCTGACTTCGTGATGCCTGCTAGCCTAGGGTTTTCCTTACATGAAATTGACATCATTACTGTAGTTACTTGTGTGTATCACGGTCATACGTAATTAAGATCTTATAGCCTGAGAATGTTTGATTTGGCCTTATGATTAGGGTTTTGTTCAGCTGCCACGGCTCGGCAATACATTCAGCACGGGTGTGTGGGATATTTAGTGTATGTGGTGGATACGCGGGTCAGGGATCATACTCCGGTTTCAGAGCTTCTGGTGGTCAGGGAGTTACCGATGTGTTCCCAGAGGAGTTACCCGGAGTGCCTCCGGAGAGGCAAGTCAAGTTTAGGATCGACTTAGTGCCAGGTGCGGCCCCTATCGCCAAGGTGCCGTACCGATTGGCACCACCAGAGATGCAGGAGTTGTCATCATAGCTGCAGGAGCTGCTTGGAAAGCATTTCATTTGTCCGAGAAGTTCTCCATGGGGAGCATCGATACTCTTCGTCAAGAAGAAGGACGGTTCGCACATGATGTGCATTGATTACCGGGAATTGAACAAGTTAACGGTAAAGAACCGTTATCTACTCTGAAGGATAGATGAGCTTTTTGATCAATTGCAGGGTGCATCCTGGTTTTGCAAGATAAACTTGAGGTCTGGGTATCATCAGGTATGGGTTAGAGAGGAGGACATGGAGAAGACCACGTTTCGGACTTGTTATGGTCATTACGAGTTCGTGGTGATGCTGTTTGGGCTCACCAATGCTCCAGCAGTATTCATTGACTTGATGAATCAAGTTTGCAGACCGATGCTAGATCGCTTAGTCATCATGTTCATAGATGATATCTTGGTGTATTCTAAGACTCGAGAGCAGCACGAGGAGCATTTGCGGGAGTTATTGGGAGTTTTGAGGTGAGAACGGCTTTATGCCAAGTTCTTGAAATGCAAGTTTTGGTTATGAGAGGTCCAGTTCCTGGGACACCTCGTTAACCATGATGGGATTTTGGTGGACCTGGCCAAAATTATGGCAATCATGCAGTGGGAGGTTCTGAAATCTCCCGCAGACATCATGAGCTTTTTAGGATTGGCAGCGTACTACTGTAGATTCATTCATGATTTCTCTAAGATTGCGGTAGCCCTCACTCGTCTGACGAGGAAGGGGGTGGATTTCCGGTGTGGCCCTGAGCAGCAGAGGGCGTTCGAGACCCTCCGGAAGCGATTGTGCGAGGCACCAGTCTTGACGCTCCCGTAGAGAGTTGAGGATTTTGTAGTGTTCTGTGATGCATCCATCACAGGTTTGGGGGCGGTCCTCATGTAGAGAGGGCGAGTGATAGCTTATGCGTCGCGACATTTGATGCCGCATGAGATGAGATACCCTACGCATGACTTGGAGTTAGGGGCAGTGGTGTTCGCCCTCAAGATATGGAGGCATTACCTTTATGGGGTCCGGTGTACCATATATACGGATCACAAGAGCTTGAGGCATATCATGGATCAGCCGAACCTGAACATGAGGCAGCGCAGGTGGCTGGATGTAGTCAAGGACTACGATATTGAGATCCTTTACCACCCTAGTAAAGTGAATGTGGTTGCGGATGCTTTGAGCCACAAATCAGCTGGGTCTTCCACCCCAGTAGTATGTATGAGGATAGAGATGGATTCTCCACTGGTGAGTTTGATCAGAGATGCTCAGGTGGAGGGCATATGACTAGAGAACTAGAAACTGGAGAGGATCATGGGCGAGAACGCACGGTTTGTGCAGGATAGGCGGGGCTTGTTGACTCGATGCGGTCGGGTATGGGTTCTGATGTTTGGTGGAGTCAGATAGACAGTCATGGAGGAGCCTCATAAGTCTCACTTCTCTATTCACCCGGGGGCCACCAAAATGTACCAGGATTTGAGTTTGAACTACTGGTGGCCGTGCATGAAGCGAGAAATCGCTTGGTATGTAGAGAGGTCGCATGGCAAGTTGCAACCCCTGGAGATTCATGTGTGGAAATGGGAACAAATCACGATTGAATTTATTACCAAGCTGCCGAGGATGGTGAAGAGGTTTGATGTCATTTGGGTCATCATGGATTGATTGACCAAGAGTGCGCATTTCTCGCCATGGGGTTCTGATCTCCATTGTCTCCGACTGAGATGTTAGATTTAGCTACCGTTTCTGGCAGAAGTTCCACGAGGAACTGGGCACACAATTGCACTTCAGCACAACATTTCATCCCCAGACAGACAGTTAGATCGATCGGACCATTCAGACCCTCGAGGACATGTTAAAGGCGTGTGTCATTGACTTCAGTGGGAGCTGGGATTCCCACCTACCACTTGCAGAGTTCGCCTACAACAACAACTATCATGCTAGCATTGGCGCTCCGCCTTTCGAGATGTTGTATGGACGGAAATGTCGCACACCAGTTTGTTGGGGTGAGGTCGGACACAGGGTGATGGGACCAAAGGAAGTAGTCTTGCAGATTGCCGAGAAAATTCAGCAGTTACGCCGACAGACGTCGATCTGAGTTAGAGTTTCAGGTGGAGGATATGGTTCTCCTGTAGGTCTCACCCTGGAAGGGAGTGATTCGCTTCAGGAAGAGGGGGAAATTGGTTCCCCGTTACATTGGGACGCTCAGGATCATTGCCAGGGTTGGCAAGGTGGCTTACAAGTTAGATCTGCCGGAAGAGCTTAGTCGGATCCATAACACTTTCCATGTTTCGCAGCTACGAAAGTGCGTCATGGATCAGGAGGCGATAGTATCACTGGATGATGTTCAGGTCGATGAGCACCTGAATTACGTGGAGAGGCCTGTGGTCATTTTGGAGAAGAAGAAGAAGATTTTGCGGAATAGAGAAATACCTTTGGTGAAGTTTCAGTGGGAGCATCGGAGGGGGTCCGAATGGACATGGGAGCCGGAGGTGGAGATGTGAGAGCATTACCCAGGGTATTTCGCTGCAGCAGACTTTAAGGACGAAGTCTAGTTTAAGTGGGGGAGAATTGTAACGCCCCGATTCTCAAGTATGGAATTAAATGAAATCGTATTTGGTTGAAAGATTTACTCGACTACTTGGTTGCCCTACTCGTGGAGTAGCAGCGAGGTGGGATCGTGCATTTAGTGGTCTACTCGCCGTGTCCATAAAGGGACTCGACGAGTAGGAGCTGACAGATGAAACCTTAAATTTCAGGGTATTTCACCCTATTTAAAGGATCACTGGCCTTCCCCAGCCTTCCCTTCATTGCTTCTTGTCCCTCTAAAGCCCTAATCGTGTGTGTATGCTCATTTTGTGCATTGTTAAGCTTGGAGGAGGATTTTCTTGGAGAAAGAGCTTGGAGATCAAGCATTCAGAAGCAAGGAGCTTGAAGGACCTGAAATCTATTGTATTTAGCATCTTCTTGAAGGTATAAATCGTTACCCTAACCTCATTCATTCTAGATCCCCTCTTTG